AATACATTAAATAATAATATAATAAAAATAAATAAAATTAATATTCTACAACATTTCCTCCTTAGTATTGAGCTCCTGCGAAATGTTACATATTTTGAGAAAGTTGTTTTCTACATTTTCAAATAAAATAATCAAAGTCTACACTAGTTAAATGATATACCAATTAGGGATAATATATTTAAATTGAAGAATTGGAAATTCTCCAAGCACAGACAATAATTTCTGCGCTCTATTTGCAACAGTTAAGAATCGAGCACCATTTTGACTGGTTATTTGTTGGACTTCTTGTCTCAATTGTTTCTCAGTTAATTGTCATTCAACAAGATCTTTTGATAATAATGACCAGGATTTCGAATATGCAAAGAGTCGTTGTCCATTTGTTTTTACAGTATCAATGGCAACACTTACAAGAAATAAAATATCTCCTTTATCATATAATTCAAGATCAAGGTCAATTTTAGCATTACATGCATCATCAATATATCTGTTGAAATTTTGAGGTCGTGTTCGTCGATAGTGAGTAGGAATAGTTAGAGAGGTTTGTTGAGAACAACTTTGTACAATAATTCATGTAGAGGTCATTTGTATATTAACAGAAGTGTAATCTAATTGTAAACTTTGATAAAGTTCTAATAATCTAGCATGTTGAGTTTCTGAAAGTTGAAGTTCCATGATTTGTAAAAATTTTTTAGAACTTGAGAAAAATAAGGCCCTTTATATAATAAAATTTGTGTTTAGGTGTTTAATTAAACTTTAGCTAATTTGAGGTAATTATCACACAAGGTTCTACAAGATGTCTTTGTTTATAATGTTTTAATCTCTCTGCATGAATAGGATTAGGTAATGTATTACCAATTTTATCCCTTATCAAGTAAACCTTATTACCTAATTTCTTTTCTATTTAAAATGGTCCTGTTCATTTAGGATTAAACTTTTGTCCATGCACTTGTCTTTTAGCAGAATCATATAATAATATGATATCATTTTCGTGATACTCGTAAGCTTTAGTCAAATGTTTTTGCCTTTCTTTTTGTAACTCTTGTGCACTTGTTACATTTCTTGAAGAGATTATGAGTGCGTCAGTGAAGGTTCCTATTAAAGAACTAATCTTTCGTTCTAAAGCCTCTTCATAAGTTAAAACAGAATGACTTTCCTTATCATTAAACTCGACATCAATAAGAAGTTGTGTTTCTCTTCCATGTACCAAATAAAAGGGAGTATACTTTGTTAATTCATGCTTTAAGGTACAATAAGTAAAAAGTACTGAAGGTATTAATTGATCCCAATTAGACTAACTGGTTTGTAAACATTTTGCAATAGATCTACACAAGGTTTCATTGAATCTTTCTGTTAATCCATTTGCTTGAGGATGGTAAAATGATGCCAATTTGTGTTGAAATTCTATTTCCTCCTTTAAAAGTTTGATTGTATCATTTACAAAATGAGCACCTCTATCAGACAAGATTATAGATAGGGTTCCATGTCAGCAAATGATTTCCTCATAAAGAAATTGAGCAGCTTCTTTAGCTGTTGTTGTTTTTACGGCACGTGCTTTAGACCATTTGATAAAATAATCTGTTACCACTATGATATATCTGTTTCTATTTTCAGTTATTTCCAAAGGTCCAACATAGTCAATTCCTATTTGAAAGAAGGGTCGAATAACTGGTATAGATTTAGTCAATTGTATCTTTTGGAGATTATCAAATCTCTGACAACTATCACAAGATTCAATATATGCTTTAATATCTTTTCCCATTGTAGGCCAGTAATATCTTTTTAGAGCTTTCTCAATTGTTTTCTTGAATTCAAAATGTCCTCCTAAGGAGGATAAATGTAGATCATATAGAATTCGTTCTCTGTCCTGCAGAGTTATTACTCGTAACGGTTTATCAAAATTGTTTTTGTTTTTCTTTAATAATTGCC